ATCCCCTGCTAAGCTCCCACAGATTGCAGGAAACTGAAGAAACAAAGCTGTCCATCAACACAGGCCGAGCAGCCTGAGAGAAGTTTGTTACAAAAACCAACACCAACCATCCTTTACTGAAAAAGTTACTCCCTTCTGGGTCTGACCAGAGCATCCTGGATCATCTCTCCTACCACGGCCAGGCTGAAGCACAGCAAACCCCAGAAGCCTACCACAGGTCGGTGACACTCAGAAGACCTTGACCAAAATATGCAAAGATAATTGCGAATGAACAGGACTTGTGTTCTGAACAATACAGGCTGTATATACGCTTCTCCCTGCCTCACCTGACATCTACTTCTTATTTAACAGACTAGGTGAATTTATCCTTCTGGTCAACAGTCAGGTATTCCTTCTGATGCTTTGCAATCATAAGCAGCAAAGTGGGGCAGGTTCTTTGCCAGCAGTCCCCAACCTCTTTCCACTCAGCAGTTGCTCCAAAAGCAGTTCCCATTTCCCGAGGTAGTGCTGTAGTTAATCTGGGGTGATACACAGGCAGATGGGCCAGCTGATCCCTCCCAAATATCACAGCAAGATACCTGCGCTCTTTTCCGTCCTGAAGGGTATTAGATCTTCTGTCCCCTACCCTGCTGCCAGTTTTTGTGAACACGATTGTCCCATGTTAACAAACTTGCAGTTGCCCAGTGGGTTCAGAAATTATTAAAGAAGACAGACACAGAAAGACTGTATGAGTGCAGAATAAATTAAAAAAAATCTACAGACTGTTTCAATCGAGCCTGGCCTGTGTACATCTCATCTTTCATAAAAGAAATGTCAGTTCTTTTTCTGGTTACCTTCAGTTAAATCTGTGTTGTTACACCCAGCAACTGCAGTGACATTTCCTCCACTTCCTCCATAACAGTATCTTAAAGCTTCAACCTCTTTACCAAATACTAAACCTTAGCATATTAATTAGCGGTCCTCAGGAACCCGAGACAACCATTTCAAGACTGCCTATAATGTCAGTGGGGTTTCAGTATCTTCTAGGGTCTGCTCAAAGCTTTGTATTTATACCGTTCACCTCAATTGAACAGCAAAACTGCATGCGGATGATACAGAAGTAATGTAATCAGCAGCAGTAATTGGATTAACAACCCATTAGCACAAATTTAAAATCCCAGTGGTTACTGCTGGGAGTAAAGGGAGGGGTTGCCATTCTTCGTATTAGTACATGAATCAAACACTGCCACCAAGAAACAGGAAAATTATTTCTACAGACGAGTGATTTTTATGTTCTTGTTTGTGCAGGCAGCGCTCACCAGCAAGGCACCAGTTACCAGTTCCACTTTCAAGCATGTCTGTGCCATGTATTAACCCTGGAACAAGCAGCACAGGCAGGTGCTACAGCTGGTTTACAAACAGGCTCCACACCATCAGATGCTGGTCACCAAAGAAATGGGACTGGTCCAAGCTATTTTAATGCCTGCATGGGCATTTTAGTTCCCCATATAAAAATGAACACTTCTTCGGTTTTTCCCACCCCGCTTTCAACTACGGTTTTGTTCTTAAACCAGAGAAGCCATAGTTTCTTCCTTTTCACCCTTCCTGCTTAGAAGTTGCCTAGCAAAATCCCACAGACTATTTCAAGAATTCAAGAGAGAAAAATCCCACAGTTCATTTCAAGAATTCAAGAGGACACTACTTTTGCTGGAGTCCTCCTTTACATCTTGAGCACTTCCCGTTTCAAAGGCATTTTTCTATATAGCCTGCCCACCCTCCTGTGCAGACCTGCCTACGGAAAAAGGGGCCCCGGCTCTCCCACCTCCCCGAGATGGCAGAGCCTCCCCCAGACCCTGTCTGACTCCTCACTCATCTCTGCCAGGCACCGAGGAAAATTCATTTGCCATGTGGAGGGTCATAACCGAACAGCGATACTTGAAGCCTCTCCACATGGGAACCGTGAGCCCCAGCAGCACAGCCAGTTGCTTTTGAGATGGATGAGCACTGGTGGCCCTCGACATTCGTCAAGAGAGTGAAAAGTCACAGGGATTCAGCCAAATCAACAGTGAATGGCAGCTGGCCTGGTACCTTTCTCAGACACCTTTGAAACTGCTCAGGAAGTTTCTCCCTCCCCACCCAAGTTTGTCGCTCTCATCTCTTGTCACCCGCTGGCTTGCAAAGCTGTGCTCGATGGGGTTGCAGGATCTGCCAGCGATGCCCTCGTTGAAGCCTTGTTACAGAATTTAGGTCGGGGCTTGGCGCAGTGCTGGCTGAATTCGCAAAGAACAGCAATGACCCCCCGCGGCCAGGGAGGAAAATACTGGGACCTTCAGATCCCCCCAACATCAGAAAAGCTCCATAACCAAACCTTACTGGCTGGGGGTTTTGTTTTCAGGCTGAGAAACAAAAGTGACAGGTACACGGGGGCATGGGAACTGGATGAATCACATACGCTCCCCTATTTAGTACATCCCCAAGACCAAAATGTCAGGAATGCTGCAGCCAGCAGGAAGAATTAGAAACCTCAGAGCTGAAGCAGTCCAGATCTTGAGCTCATTGCTTTTCAGGTTGTATACTCATTTATTGAGCACAAATAACCAAAAAAGGTTCACGATGGGGAAAGAACGCTAGCATAAGAAGCCTGGAAACAGACCATAGTTTTGAAGACTGCTATGTAGAGGGAAAAAAAGAACAAGACAAAAAAAAAGGAGGAGAGAGGAAAAGGGAAAAAAAAAATATTAACAATTCAGCTACGCAGCCCACACAGCCTGCTGCAGAGACACCAGCACCCTGCTCCTAAGATCTGTGTCACGAGAAGCTGGCAATGTCTCACCTTGCAGGTCTGACAGCTCATACCTGGTGCCCATGAGCATGATCCATCTAAATTAACCCCCTCCAGAGCACAGCTCCTCAGCACGTTTCCACCACATTACCAACAGCACTTTCAAGAGCCTCATAACCCCCCCAGCACCTTTCTGGCCCATTAGATGACTGCAGAGAGCTTGCTTGAGGACAGAAGTGTTTTGCATTTGTGTACCAGTTCAGCAGAACCATTTGCAGGTACCAAATCTCTCTAAGTAGTATGGAAGTACAGTCTCTTCACCCCTTTGCCCCTTAACTAACTCAGAGTTGTTTAAGTGGCAGAGATGCAAAGGGATCTACTGGATTAGCTACAGACCTCTCCACCAGCCTTCAAAAATGCTTAAAAAAAAGGGAGCATCAGATACTTTTATCTCATTGCTTGTATATCCCCAATCTGCTTATACCTAGAAGCCTCACAGCAGAAATCCCTGAATCTCCTTGTATGGTAATAAGATAAACAGCTGCTAAACTACAGCAGTTGGGTAGGGGAAAAAAAAAAAAAAAAAAAAAACTTTTTTTTTATTTAAAAAAAGAAAGGGGCGGGAAAAGCTTTTAGCCTTTTTGCACTGTTCCTGTCCACGCAGATGTGAATAATGCTGCTACCCGTCTCATGCACAGACCTGAAAGCATCTTCACCAAGCTTTAGTTTTCAAATTTCCCAAGTCATCTTGAGGATGCAATTGTTGCAACACTTACTAGGCGATCCTCATAAAAATAACAACGCCCAGGTCTTGTGTGGAGCATTCCACCGGTGTCTCCAAGAAGTTAAGTACTATTTTACAGAGGCAGCACGGGCAGAAGCTTGAGTTGTGCAGCAGCAGAATGGATTACCCATGTCCTTGCTTGTCCTCAGCCACTGAGCTCCATAATGCTGTAGTATTTAGGTAGCAGCGCTGGTGGCAGACATCCAGCCCTTGCTATTCGGCAGGGCAGGGAGGCAGAGCTGCTGGGGAAAGTAAATACTGCAAACGCGATCTGAAGCTGCCACCTAGTGCTAACTCTGGAGCGCAGGCAGAGCACTCTGGATGAGATGAGAAGCAACGAAGGGGATTTCTAGTTCCTAGGAAAAGACTGAGCAAAGAATTCTTCCTTTTGCCTGGGGCAAGCATGAGAATTTGCAACGTTAGAATTAGATTCAGGGACAATTAGGGCAGACATTTTGCTTTTTCATCCTTTCTAAGAATTCCAGCACTGTGGTGCAAGCAGCTCTAATACAAATACAATATATAAACACAACGTGTATGTAATACAAAAGCTCTAATATGGCACCAGAGATCTGAGAGGATGTTCTAAGGAAAGCATCACGTTCATTCTCTACAGAGAAGGCAAGTGACCGACTGCCAGCGTCTGGCTCAGCATGCCCACCTCTAACCAGTGGCCTGAGGACCTTCACCAGTGTCATATTGGGCTCCTTGTCATCCCCCAGACACAGCTGCTGCATGACTCACCTCTCCATGGGATCCTGCAGGGAAGCAGTGTTGAGAGAGCCACTGTGAACAATGCCAGGCAACCTGCTTACAGGGGAACTCTGCACAGAAGATCTGCTGAAGAGGAAGGTCAAGTCCTGCTTGACTGGGGTAGGGAGCAACAGCTGAACTCCGGAGATTAACAGGACATTGCAACCACTCCGAGTGTCCTGGCACAAGGAAACTTGAGCCAACCATCGCTCTCAAGCTAGACACAACTCATTCTGGAGAAAGACAAGCTAAAGTACACACTCCCAAATGACTGATTTGTTTCAAAAAATTTATTGAAATGTAAAATATTTAATAGAAAACAATACCAGAGCCTCCTCAGAGGAGAAGCTCACCATATCAGGCATAAAAAAGGAACCAGCAGGATGCGCACAGACTAAGACACAGCTCACCCATGGCTCCTGGCTCACATGGACAGCCACATCCAATCTCATACCCTTGAGACACAGAAGCCATGAACAGCCAGACCCAAAATGTGGTTAGCAAGGGTGTGGATACTCCTGGCCTCTGAAGACTTGTACCTGTGATCTGCAGTCTTGAAAACAAGAGCTCTCAGTCAGAGGACAGACTGGCAGACCTGTATCACAGTAAAGGAAAATCAAAACCATTTAGAAAGCCTTTGGGGAGAGAGAAACATCACAGAACACAACCCTTCCTCTCTGTCATTCAATGTCTGCACAAACTTCAGGGGCACTAGACACAGCAACAAGTGCTATGAGATATGTCCCAGTTGCATCTGCGTCTTCATAAAGGTCAGACATCAATTTTTCAGGCTGCTGCACCAAAAGGCTATTGTACTTAAGTACTATTTAGTACTACTGTACTAAAAGGGCTCAGGAGGTATCCTAGGAGTTAAAATGAGGAATTTCGGTGGTTTCTGAAGTGTGGAATGAATGCTGGGGACTAGAACACTGGAAAAAAAAAATACTGAAAATCAAAAGCTGCCATGCTGGGACTTCAAATGGCTGCTTCTGGCCGTGTGCCCTATCCCTCCAGATCCAGCAGCCTCTGTTGCGTTTCCAAAACGATCTCCTCCATCACCTCTGGTTTGAGAATGTCCTTGATCTGGAGTGGAAAGAAAAGTAACATTGGCACCAAAAAGCAACCACTACTATTGCATACTCTGTGGGGACAAGGGTCCCTGGCACAGCAGCAAGTGAGTTTAGAGGGCTGTGGTCAAACAAGACTATCGTGGCAGAGGCTCCACATCAAAGTCAGCTTTGACAGAGACCACAAGAAATCAAAGAAGATGCTACTGACAACTCCTAATGTCTCCTGAAGGACACACACCAGGCTTTGGGAAAGGGAGAGATGACTTAAACAGAAGTATAGTTCAAAAGAACATCCCATCTAGCTGAGCAGGCTGCCACTGTGAATGAAAGCAGAAGACAATGCAGATCTTATCCCTTTGAGAAGAGAATCACCAGTGACTGTTACGGCAGAGATCACAGACAAGCTCTACAGCAAGAGGTCAAATCAAGGGAGCCTTCCAGCAGTGCAGCACGTGGGTACAAACAGAAGACCGGTCGTCGTACAATACATGAGACTTGCTTTTTCATTTGTTCTTAACGTGCACCGTACCCTCACACAATCCCAAATTTAACACCGTTTTCACCGGGGTCACAGAGGGTCCGTAATCCCAGCAAGGGACGCACCTCTATCACAAAATGGAACTATTTCTCTCTCTGTAGGAACAGCTGGGGCTTTGCCAGAGGCAGAACCCTTCAAACTATCCCTGAAAATGTGCAAGGCAATTTATGTTATGCAGAAGGGGGGAAGTTCATATTGTCACTTACTACAGGGTGCTTTGGAAAGCCGAAAGGAAGCCCTACCACCTACCTTACTGACTTCAGCAGCAACCGATGCGGCCTTTCCATACCCTCCCCACAGCCTGGAATAAACAACACTGGTTTCTGTACCTGATGAGGAAGGGACGCTTCATAGCAATACAGGATGCTGGTGTCAAAGAGCATCAACATATGCGTAACGAGAGCCACAATGCAGTTTCGGAGCCGTGAGATCACCTCCCGGTCAGACAAGGGAACTGGCTGATGCAGGACAGAAGAAAAGAGATGAAAATACAGGGAAATAATGCAAGCCTGCTGTAAAAAAGCTTTGCCAAGAAAGTCTCAGGTTATTCACGTGCCTCTATGTCAGACTAACAAAACGTCATTGGTAGGAGAAGGTTCACCTTCCCTGACCCCTCACCTCTAAGTCTGTGGTAAAGCCCCCTGACTCTTCATCCTTCTGCCCTGGAGTTGGGTAGATCCAGATGAAGCCATTGTTGCTGAGGATCACAGATGCACCACAGGTCAAGTCGTGGAAATGAGTCTTCTGGCGTTTCACAAGGGAAGGCGAGACCTGAACGAGCACACCCTGGCCAAGCTGAAGAGGAGACCATAAGACTCAGCATGAGAGACGTAAGCCACCATAGACAGCATCGAGTCACGGACACGCACTCCACTCCTGGTCTAGGAACCAGTCAATTTTAACACCTTTTCCTGTGAAACAGTGAATATAAAACCTGCCTGTCTCTGGGAGTGCTGGGAGGATTAACTAATGCCTGCGCAGTCCTTTGAAGATGAAGAATACTTGAAGTGCTTAGCACAAATGTTAATAATATCTTGATCGTAACTACGCATCAACCATCCCTGCAGAAAAACGGGAAGTGAGAGGCCCAATTTAGCAGAACACTTTCCCTCTTAATCCAGTCGCTGTCCTTCACCCTTTGTGCAATAAGCACACTTCGCTTTCATCTTTTAAGTGCTAATACCCTCGGTCTGGTAATCCCAAACTGCAGCCCACGCTCCAGTGGCCCCTTGGCTTATTTCAATGCACCAAACCAGAGATAAATGCCAATTGCGTAAAGCCTAAAATAGAGCCCTGGAGGGAGAAACAAGTCACAGGGGCAATGGTCTGCAGAAGAGGAGTGATGAACTTGGAGTCAGAAGATTTTTCTCCCCAGGGTTTAATTCCCAAGCGGCTAGCGGGAAAAACGGGAGCCACAGGCCGTACCCGTGGACAGGGAGAGCAGCAGCTCAAAGGGCAACTCAAGGGCACTCCCTCTGCTTTGGGGAAACTGCTCGGTGCTCCCACATAGGGGCTAAGATTCCTCCTAACCTGCAGGAACAGGTTGTAACAACATCACGCTCTACTCCAGACCTTTTTTCTTCAAAGCCCCTCCAAAAGGCACTATACAAGTCAACCAGAGCAGAACTAGGCCAAGACCGAGTGCTTCTGAACAACTCACCTTCCCGTATTTCAGACTCCGGGTGTGCAGCGATGCAGCCCCATCAGAAAACACAGACTGCACCTCCGCCTGTCAGTGCCACTTAAGGAAACAAGGTCCCTACCGCTGCCCAGTGCCAACAGCCGCGGCCGAGAGCTCTCGCTACCCGCCAGGCTGACGCCGTTGTCCCCGCACCCCGGCTCTTCTGTCCGCGTGCACGCAGTGGAAGGATACACTGATGAGGTCCCCTTCCTGCAGATAGTCCCTCATCGCAAGCTCATCTTCTACCGATCTCCTTCTCTGAAATGCACGATGCAAGAAAAGCTCCGCTTAGCTCAGAATGAGAAAACATCAGTTAATGCCTGCGTTGCGGGGGGACCTTGGGATGCCACACAAAACACACTCCGGTCACCAAAGGAAAATCAAGCGGAGCAGCACACCTTTAGATCACTGATGCGTTTGTGTCCAAGGAACGCTGAGAGTTAAAGATATCGGAGCACTACGGACCCAGCCACAAAGCCCAACACTACCCTTGCGCTAACTGCGGGAAGGGCTCCAGAGCTTCCCCGTGCCTCAGCTTCTGCCGCGGACACACAAGGCAGAGCTCTGGCACTGCTCTGCGTGAACTACACTCACCAGTTCCCCACCAGGTAAATTTATAGATGACAGCAACAGGACTGAATCAAGGCTGGAATTTGTTTCCACTTTCCATCGCTTCT